TATATATATATATATATATATATATACATGGATAGCTGAGGTAGTGTGCATTCCGAGATAATATGATGAAGAGAGGAGGCTCGTCGGAAAAATTGAGTTGTACTCGTAAATTTTCGAGCTGGTGACACCAACTCGTCCTCAGACGAAATTAACAGTGGAGAAAGTGAACTGGTCAGAGTAAATTTGCTGGCGTGACAGGGCAGCCAGTGACAGGCAAGCAACTAATGTGTGAATGGGGGTGGACAGATAATTAGGCTGGGATCCGTGGCGGGGGAGGGAAGGGGGAATTGTTGCGTCTCCCTGTGTTGGAGGGTAGGGGGGATGACGAATCAATGGAATTATGGGCAGTGGGCTTAATGGTCGTCGAGCCGGCATGCGGGCAGCTGTAAAAAAGAAGGTGAATGAGCTCACTCGACTGAAGCTCATAACCCCCGATGACTCCAGATGTATGACTCTCAACGACCCCCGAATAGCCCATGCATATGGCCTCCCAAAGGTGCACAAAGAAGGTGCGCCATTGAGGATCATTGTGCCGCTTATTGGATCGCCCACCTACAACCTCGCTAAATGGTTATACAGGCACCTGAAGCACCTCACCAATGGATCACAATATAGCGTCAAAAACTCTCAGGCATTCCTCCAGAAGATCCAAGGCCTGAAAGTAAGTCCTGATGAGTGTATTCTATCGTTTGATGTGGTTGCCCTGTTTTCCTCAATACCACATGACCTAGCGATTGAGAGCGTAACCCGACGCCTGCAAGATAACCCAACCAACATTCCGATAGAACACATTTCAGAACTTCTTAGACTCTGGCTCAAGAACTACTGCCAATTCGATGGAAAGTTTTATCAACAGGTTAGGGGCACATCAATGGGCTCGCCAATATCAGGTCTACTAGCTGAACTAGTACTACAACAACTAGAAGAGGAGGTTATGCGAACCTTTAAACCAAAAATGTGGCTCAGATACGTAGATGATACGTTTGTTATCATGAAGACCTGCGAAACTGAGCAGCTACACCTGAGTCTGAATAGCGTGTTCTCAGCTATCCAGTTTACTTGCGAAAAGGCAACAGGAGGCATGCTCCCGTTTCTAGACGTTAGTATCCAAACACTAAGTGATGGCGGCCTTGCAACAAGCGTCTACCGAAAAGACTCCAGTGCTGACGTCATTCTTAATTATGAAAGCAACCATCCTGCGGCTCCTAAAAGGAGCTGTGTCCGAACCCTTTTCCACCGGGCCTATCGGTACTGCAGCAGCGATGATCTACGTAAGAAAGAACTCGCTTTCCTGTATCGGTTATTCCGACTCAACGGATACCCGGTCAGCTTTGTAAAAAATTGTCTCAGGCATCAAAGACAACCACAAGGCTTTGGTTCTAACGAGGGACCAGAACATCGGAAATTCTACTCGCTACCCTACATGCAGGGTATTTCCGAAGCGATCGCCCGACAACTAAACCGGTTTGGCATCTTCATTGCCCACAAGCCGGCGTCCTCTGTGCGCGCAACACTATCGCGAGTGAAAGACCCTATACCTAAAGAGCAGCAAACTAATGTCATCTACCGCATTCCGTGCGCCAACTGCTCTTGCGACTATGTTGGTCATACAGGCCGACGACTTGGGACGCGTATAAACGAGCATAAACTAGCCATTCGCCGACGTGACCCTTTGTCACTCGTGTTTGCACACGCCCTTGAATGCGATCATCGCTTCAACTGGGAAGGAACTGAAGTTGTTGCCATGGCGAACACCAAACACGCTCGTGAGTTCCTCGAAGCCTGGCACTCTAACACGACAAGCATCAATCGCCATGTCGATCTAGATGCTCATTACGAAGGTCTGCGCGCCGGGCTCACTGACTTGCGCCCACGACCTAACAACAGCCGTTAATCCACACTGGGCCACGTAGAATCGCACTATTTCGTCACCCCATTACACCCCCAGACACAGCGAACCGCAACTGCAACCGGTATCACCTCTACGCTGGGCTCACTGACCTCCGCCCGCATGCCGGCTCGACGACCATTAAGCCCACTGCCCATAATTCCATTGATTCGTCATCCCCCCTACCCTCCAACACAGGGAGACGCTACAATTCCCCCTTCCCTCCCCCGCCACGGATCCCAGCCTAATTATCTGTCCACCCCCATTCACACATTAGTTGCTTGCCTGTCACTGGCTGCCCTGTCACGCCAGCAAATTTACTCTGACCAGTTCACTTTCTCCACTGTTAATTTCGTCTGAGGACGGGTTGGTGTCACCAGCTCGAAAATTTACGAGTACAACTCAATTTTTCCGACGAGTCAGGCAGCGGCACAAGGTCGGCGAAACACGCGTGTCTGGGCTTTTAGCTAATACCTGTGCTGTTAGTACGCTAAATTATTGCACAGTATATATACATAGGCAGAATGATATTACCGACAAAGACAAGGGAGACTGGAATGGCCATTTCTTGCTTATTAGACGTCGACAGCCAGCCATACCCAAGCCCGAAGTGTGGAACACCCGAGCCTCGAACTCGCGACCTGTTGGTTTAGAAGTCAACGCCTCTCCTCACCAGGCCACGAGCCCGTTGCCCTGTCGGTTTTCGATCGGGAATATACAGTGTTAGGGGGCGCTCACCGATCGTTCATACGGAACTCACTCGTTCCGTTGTGCCTTATGAACTCTCTCTCTCGGTAATATCATTCTGCCTATATATCATGGGCCGCTGTGCGGCTGCTGGTTGGGCTCGAGAGAGAGTCCATAAGGCACAACGGAACGAGTGAGTTCCGTATGAACGATCGGTGAGCGCCCCCTAACACAATATATATATATATATATATATATATATAACTGAATTAATATGCATTCCGAGATAATATGATGAGAGGAGAAAGTGTGTCGGAAAAAAGCCTTTACACGTAAATTTTTGAGCTGGTTGCACCAACCCGTTGTCAGACGAAGTGGATAAAGGGAGGCGGGATTGTCACACTGCTGGTTGGGGACGCAGCCAGAGAGATAAGCAGACGACCTTGCGAGGGAGAGGTGTGCATCGTGTTGTGATGGGTGCCGGAGGTAAGGGTAGGTGTTATGGGTCCCGATTGTGGCTCAACGTGTTGGGGGGGGGGGAGACGGTGGCAGGAGGGCAGGGAAGGAGGAATGGCGTGATGGCGAGACCATGCATGTCCGGGCACGCAGTAGCTGTTGTTGTTCTTAAGGTGGGCTCCAGTCAGTCCACCTCGGTCGGAGACCCTCGTGGTGGACATCAGGTCAACATGGCGGTTAATGCTGTCCGCACCGGAGTGCCAAGCTTCGAGGAATTCTCGTGCCTGTTTGGTGTTAGCCATGACGACCACTTCAGTACCGTCCCAGTTGAAACGGTGGTCACAATCAAGAGCGTGCGCAAACACGAGAGATAAGGGGTCGCGTCGGCGGATAGCTAGCTTATGTTTATTAATACGAGTCCCAAGCTGTCGACCTGTGCGACCAATATAGACGTAACGGCAGTTAGCGCACGAGATACGGTAAATGACATTACTTTATATATATACAGCTGTACGGTGTCTGCTAGAAACAGGGCGTCGGGCTGCTATCATGTTACGCAAGTCGTTCTTGTGCGTGCAGCAGAATCTAGTGAAGGCCCCGCAGTGACCATGGTCATAAGGAAGTGAACTGCATTCAGTCCTTCGCGCCTCCCTCCCCTCCCAATTCACCGCTCTTCCTGACCTGCCCCCAATCCATACTAGCCGTCATCACCTACCAGACAACTATCACTACTCTCGGTAGGACGCGGAAGTCAGAACTCCCATAATAGAGGTGGTCGTGCGCTAAATTCCAGGAAGATAGGGCTAGAGTTAAGGTCAATGTGAGGGTTAAAGTTAGGGTCATGTTTGGAGCTAAGATTAGGGTTGACGTTTGATCCAGTATCAAGAAAGGGGGACAGACATTCTTTAGGGATTCTATCACAAGACTAACTCTATTACGACAAGTTCTTACTCCAGTATATTACTCTGCCTCTAATAAACCCACCATAATCCCCTCGGCATGGACACATTATGTGACCCCACTCAGGCGACAAAGGCTAGACCATCACGTAATACGGGTTTTATGGGCGAGGCTTAACGGCGGAAGGGAAAGTGCGATAGTAGGTAAACAATCGGATAAATATTGAGGTGGTATATTGCGTCCTCGCGCTAAATTCCTCTAGAGCTACTTGTAAGAGTGCACATATCTGGAACCTGGTCTCCGAGGAATGGTGAGGATATCAAAATGTCCAGCAAAGGATATAAAAAGTTGGGCATTTTTCGAATACTTCCAGTGTGTTTTCACAAAAGACGTAGGCTACATTCCATCTAGCTACGAGATCGTGGAAGCGTCAATTAGGAAAAAGGCGATCACGCACTAGGCCGCGATGACCTGGTTTTTGTTACCTGAGTGGGGTCGTATACTGCGTCCCTGCTATCCCCTCATACCATTTATGTGATAATGTGAACACTACTCGAATCCTCATGTTACCCACATTTTTTGATTGATCTCATTACCATTTAAATGCACTGACGTGGTAAGCAGATATCAAAAGCACACCAAGCAATAGTTTAGTTATTGCTGCCAGGTAGTACAATGCAAATTTCCCCTTTGCGAATTAAGGTAAAACGCAAAAGCAAAGCATAACCGGATGAAACAAATTTTAGTCGGCGAACTAACATTTCGAAGGTGTGCTATGCGGCAATTTTCCTCATTTAACGTTTAACCTGGTAGTATTTTTGTGCCACAATTACTTTTCATGTCCTTTACTCTGCAATTCACAAACTATACGATTAATAAAAACATTTTTGCCTAATCAATGATGTTTCGAAAATCTTTAGAATTTAAGACGTGGTCAGGTTGCGAGTAATTTGAGTACCAGGCAAGCGTGCGCTGGAATGCGAAGTAAAACACATCCTGAGAATTCACCAGAGTCCCTCAGCTAGGCGACAGTATGCAATTGCCCATTACTTGGTATTGAATTGTGGTTCAAAAATGCAGCCGAAAATCTATGTTAATTCAAAACCCCATAAATCGCCAGCTGGTGAGACACATTCGCCCTCTGTACACTTTCGCATTCATGGCGCCCTGTCCGCGGACGGACCAATTATATTTTGTTAAAGACGACGCCCTATTCTGCCTTTGCATTGTCTAGATGCTGCCTGTCCGATGTCACAGCCGCATCTTCCGACTCCAAAACCAGTCCTTCAAGTTGATGTATGCTCTTGTGTTTACTTGTTGGACATGGGTCTTAAGCCCAACCTTGGCCTCGGAAGCGAAGAAGTTAGAACTTTTCTTCCAGGACGCCGAAGGGGACTGCCAGCCGGGAAAGAGCATTTACGATGTCTACGCCACAATCGATGCTGCCGTCCAGTATGCAACGGCCCACACAAATGGGCATTTGACGACGAAGGACATTTACCGTCGTTTTACTTATACACCAGGATGTAGTCATTCTCATGGTCAACAAATTAAAGATATTATTAGCCTATTAAGAAGCATTCGGACTCAGGCAAACACCAGCACCGCTTACTCCGTCTTCGTGGGACCATCGCTAAGAAGCGACTGCAGTCTATTAGCTGACTGGATGCCGCTCGGTCACGGCTCAATTGAAGCTTATAGAAACCTTTATCAAATCAGTTATATTTGCCAGAACAATGAACCAGCTAGGTATTTTGCGGCTTTGGACAGAATTCGCAGCACGGTGCGAACGGGAATCGTCTCGTTTACTGTCAACATACAGAGCAATACCCTGATTCGAGCTTTGAATCTGTTTCTGCGACAGAAAGGCTGGAAAAATATTGTTATTCTCTACGAGGTCAGTAAGCGGGTTTTGCGATACCGAGAGCTGGCTTGGAGTCTGAATCTATACCTCAAGACCTCGGCAGCCGGTAGGTCAAAACTGAACGTATTCACTGCAGCGAGTCTGCGGTTCGACATTGACCCTCGAAGAACTGTCAGTGAGTTCGGTAAATCATCCCAAGGTAAGATGAATTGTGAGTGTGGACTGAACGTTCTACCAAAGAAAGTCCTTAACGTCACCAACCTGGTTTTCATCCAAATTGTCAAATATGTTTCATATATCCAAGTGATACATGTCCTTACTTTAAAAGCATGGTCTCTATTGACGGAGCGGCATTACATACAAAGACAAAGGAGGCTGGATTGACCATTTCTGGCTTGCTTGCCGTCATCAGCGAGCGGGTTCTGTAGTGCGATCGCTGAGCGCCCTCTACCATAGCTATAGTTTCTAGTTCTACGCGTTCGCGAAATACTGTAATACTTCGCTGAAACACTGTTTGGGAAAGAGATGTGTTTTGTTTACCCTATATGCGTGCACATATTCTAAGCAAATGTCCAGGTTCGTAATGCAGACCATTGAATGCTGAATTCTGAAGTCTCCTCTCTGCGAACGACAACGTATTGCCATATGTAATACTGTTGTACTGTATTTTGCAGTCTTAGCACTCAAGTTAGCATCCAAGTACTTGCTACCCTCTTCTTTCGTCCACTTTACTCGATGTTGTCAGCGCACTGACGTTCCAGTTAGCCTCCGACCTTAAAAACTGAAGTCTCGACAATTACCTAAGAATTTTCCGTCACGCTAATTAGCCAAGTTGTTTTAGGTGAAATTTCACTTAGGAAGCAGTTAACGATCCCTGTTTCATGTAGTTATTTTATTCTGAGGAAAGGAATTCAAATTATAACTTTTTGTTGTGGTTCCAGCGCCAACGGGACAAACCTCAACTATGCCGATTTAAGGACTGAGTAGTGCACTGAAATCCCAATAGGTTTGACTTAAAACTCATTCATGGGACTGATGTAGAGAGCATCAGTCATAAACGTTCCCTATTTGCTCTTTTCTCTGAAGTTAAACTATGTTG